GCTAAACTTTAAAATTGTAAAAATCAGGTTTCTACTTTTTATTAATTAATTAAATATTTAATTGTGTAATTTGACAGCGTATATCTTATTAATTAGTTAAAAATTAATTTCAGGTCAAAGCTTATCAAATTAATTGATCTCGGAGTAATTCGAGGTCACAGATGAAAAAATTTATAGGTCACGGTTAACTTCATTGGTCGCAAATCAAGAATTTTAAGGTCACGGATAATTTTTTATAGGTCACAGATTAAAAAAATTCAAAACTTTTACGGGTCACAACTCTATTTCAGCGAGTCCCAGTCCCAATTTCCAGGTCACGGACACCCATACAAGTCACAGATTGAAAAAAAATCAAAACGTTTACTTGTCGCAATTCTATTTTAGTGAGTCACGGTTACAATTCTTAGGTCACAGTATTCTATAATAATTCCTCCGGTTGTATTCTGTTCTTCGTCAGTCTATTATGCCTTTTGTACCGCCGCCGGCTATGGATTCATCCCACGACCGCAATATGATCATTTCATCTATCACACCATAGATTCATAAGGGCCGGAAAATGAATCATTTTTCACGAAAAAGAAAAGAGGTGAATAGATAAATGATACATTGCAACCAAGGGAGCAGAAATTGAAATAGATAAATGATATCTTGCAGCCAAGGGAGCAGAAATTGAAGGAATCAAGGAGGCTACGCTCACAGGCTCGGCAAGTATTTTCAGTTAATATAATACCAGAAAACATTCTGCAAAAATAGTTTTGTGAAATGTGAAATACGAGCAGATCTCTTTGATGGTTTACTGGGAAGATTTGAGCAGGTAAGCTTCTGCAGAAGGAGGAGGGTGTGTGGGAGGATGGAGAGAAATGGAGGAGGCGGCGTTGTGGAGAGAGTGGAGAGAAATGGATAGATTTAGGGTTTGGATAAATTAAAATGATAAAAACCTGAAAAGTGGAAAAATAAAGTGAAAATCTGATTTTTTTAAAACGTGAAACTGAAAACCTGATCTATGGTAATTTTCCCTTTTTATTTTAGCTTCACGGGCCAACCCGGCTCGCGCTTTTCCGGCGCTAAGCCCGATCTGTCCGAGTCAACGAGCCACATTGACAAGGCTAGGTATAATGTCCATGTATGTGCTTGATTTACCCTTCTTTTTATTCACTAAACAACATTTTGGGACCCCTTTTATAGTGACTCACGAGTACATCACGATCAATTCTCGTCAACATCCATTGGACATATCAAATATGCATAGGACCCATTCCACTTTGTGCATTCTCCTTTATCCAATAGAGACTAGTGGAAGGTTTGCCATTAATATTTTTCTATATTTTAAATTTAGGTAACAAAAATGATAAAATGAAAATTTAAGCCCTTATTTGAGCTCCATTCTCGAAAAATTCATTTTTTTTCCTCAAACTCATTTAAACTATACATTTTTCAAATAAAATAATTTTGCACGTAAATTTAAAATTTTTACCTACTTTTTAACTATACATTCTCCAAAAATTCAAGTTCACAAAATTTATTAACCCAGAGAGATAGGCTGAGACAGAGCTAAATTGATGGGAATCTAATCCCTTTGAATCTTTTCTCATTTTGATAAAAAATTATAAAATAATCATTCCCACTTACTATGGTATATGCATAAATTGGTATTAGTTCCCCATAGTATGAGAATTAATCGAATAGAATCGAATCAATTAGTGAAAACAATCCTAATTCGATCATCGTACATTTGTCTCTTTATCTTTTCCATATCAATTTTTAGGTTTCTTTTATTATTGTTATTAAACAATGCTTAATTCAAATAATTATATCAATTTTTTTACAAGTTAAATTGCTTGATTAGACATAAAATAACATAATATTGTTGAAGATAAAAGTTAAATAAAATAAATTTATTTTGTCTTTAACAATAGGCAGAGGATTAACTTTTTATATATCGAATAACTCAGGGACCTAAACTAAACTGTAATTGTTTCCATATCGGAGTCCTGAGACCAAATCCTTGAATTCCAGGAATTAGTAGACCGTCATAATCCAACCCCACTTACTAGAAAGCCACGTGGCATCCATATGTGAGTCTGCTCATCACGACTGTCCTTCCACGGGTGACTTTATCATTGCCCTTGGCACGCAAACGCGTCTTGCTTGACGACTGTAAGAACAGGCAATTGCCCGTATATTCAGCGTTCAGACCCCTTTTTCACAACCAAAAATTCTTCATTAACTTGTAAAGGAAGTTCACTAGGACCATGTTTGGCTACACTATTGACCAAAACTAAAATTTGAACTTACAGTTCCGTTCTCCTGCGCTCTCCGTTCTCCTGCACATGGCGTGCAGGAGAAGCTTATATACGCAAGGCAAAGCTGACAACTTTTGCATTTTTTTTTTTTTTGTCTTTTGTTAAATTTTTTTTTATATACTGAAATCTAAATTTTAGTTTAAATCAAAGTTAACAATTAATTTTAATAATATATTTCATGAAATCCATAAATGTTTAACTTTTATAAAAATTTACTAAAAATTTGATTTTAATCTCCACTAAAGGAGGGCAGAATCAAAATAAATTTGAATTTCGATAATATACGTAAATTTTAAAAATTCTCCGACGATCGTATGCTAATCGAATCTACAAATCACTTATATCATTTCGAAATTTATTTCAAGAACTATGGGCATATCGAATAGTCCAAACATATATCGAAAATAGTTAAAAAATACATCAAACGTGAGTCTTAAAAAAGACGTCTAATAATTGGACTTTTTTTAAGATTCACGTTTGATGTATTCTTAACTATTTTCGATATTTGTTTGAACTATTCGATATGCCCATAATATAGTTCTTGAAATAAGTTTTGAGATGACATAAACAATTTGTAGATTCGATTAGCGTAC